GCTGGGCTGCTCCAGCCACTGCTTCCACTGGAAGGATATGACATTCATGGTGGGCTCTCTTCCTCTTCAGCCTTGGTCAACTTTTTAATTCACTATTTTAGCACAGTCTGCACTCTCTGGTTCCTAGTTACTCGGTTTTCTGCTCTTTGTTTCTCTGAAAGCTGGTTGTCCCTGAGCTGCAGGGTTGCACACTCCATCACTTGGATGCTGTGTTTCATCTTTATGGGCTGGGATTGCTGGTGTAGGAGGACACCTGCCTTCCCTCATGCACATCACAATTTAATCTGCAGACTCAGACCCACAATACTGAACAACTACCTGCCATTCCTAAAAGCTAAAGCAAAACCAAATCAAGTGCTCAGATAATTTCTACTGCAACTAAAGAAGCTAAAATCAGCTGAAGGTAAGATGAGCTCAGAGAAGTCCTGAGATCCTTCACTGACAGACTGACACAATGCCTGTGGTACAGGTCCTCTGACTTTAGGTTCTTCAATGCTGCAAGACCTCAGAGAAGTGCAGTAAGAGGCTGGCACTGGTGTGCTGGAGGAGCAGCTGTGCAACGGGATGGGAGGGTGGTGTAGGAATTGGGTTGGGAGTGATGGTGCCAGTTTTATGCCAGCTGCAGCCCAGGTTTGTCACCACTCATTAGAGCTGCTTGGTCCCTCCAGCCCTGTCTGTGCTGGTAAAGCAGCTGTGTTAACTGCTAGAGAGTGGTTTGTGCCTTAAAACAGCAATGCCTGTGGGAAGTCATGCCTTTGGCAAACAAAGGAGTCTCCCTCCCACTTACCTGCATGCCAGAGCCCTTCCTCAGTTTTATCCATCGCTGGCAGCAAACCCTTCGCAGAAGAAGCAGAACCTGTTTCTCGGGGGAGATGTGAACATGTGTGGGCTGTGACATCACTTCCAGCAGCCAAGGTGCCCCATGGCTTCAGGCAATGCCAGTTCCTGGAATAAAAGTTTCCCGTAAATCTCTGCAGAGCCAGAGAAAACACCCGTTTGGAGAAGGGGTCTGAAAACATCCCAGCAGCATACTCTGTTTTGGCTGGATCAAACAGACTTTTTCAACTTCTAGTTTTTATTTTATTTCCTTGAAATGGGCTCTTTCTTATAATACAGTATAAGCAAAGGCTGAAGTCACAGCCTGGGATTTTCACCAAAAGCATTGTATGGAAATGTGGGTTTTTTCCCTTTCTAAAAACAAAATCCCAAGTGGAGCTATTGGCATTTCCAACAGCATGGAGATGCCAGTTTTCCACCACCCCTAAGAAAACTTAGGGCAAAGAGATAAACAGGGCAGCCACAGCCTCAGTCTTAATCTTATCTTCATCTTTCAATTGAGGGAGTTGGCAGAGGAAAATAGTTACGTATCCTGCTGGGACCTGAGTTGAAAGAGAAAGTAAAGGTGCAGGATGTGACTGCACTGTTGGTATGTCCGCCTCAGACCTGGCTTGGTGCTGGGGCCGGAAAGCCCCCAGACAGCCTGGCTCTTGCAAAACTGGGGGTCTCCTGCTTTCTACTCCTACTTTCAGCATCAGCAAGCCCCCCACGGCTGAGACCCTGTATATCAAAAGCCAGGGCTGTCACAGCAAGCACACGCTGCAGACAGCACTGCCAGGGCACAAGTTGCTGCTTGGGGTGGTCACTGGGTCCCTGCTCACTCCTCTGTTTGGTGATGCTCCTTAGAGCCAGCCTGGCCTGAGCTCACCAGCATAGCTGATAAACTCGTAATCCTGATTAGCAAATTCCACCCCTTTTGGCCTAACAACCAACGCTGCTGTTATAAGATGGCTGCTAAAAAGGAAGGTAATAACTGCTTTTGCATTTGGAGTAAAGAATGAGCTTACTGAGCAGTGGGGAGCTGAACTTGGAGGTGGGGAGAGCTCTACAAAGCCTCAGGACAGTGGTGCCGTGGCACAGACTGTCTGGCCAAGACTCACATTGGTGGGAGAGGAGGATGGAGCAGCCGACCCGTGAAAGCCCCTGCATGAATAATTTGCCAAGTAGGCTGGAGCTTCTCTGCATCTGGGGAATTCCAGCGGCCATCCAGCTCCGGAGCAGTCGGTATTCCCTCCCCTGTCCCTCTCTTCCCTCCGCCTCCTGTCGTCATCCTGAGCCACGTGTGAGGGAGTTGAATACCATCTGAAACCCCAATCTCAGGGCTTTATAATCCCGGAATGAGCGGCAGCAGCTGTGTTGCTCCGGAGGATGCAATAAGCAGTCGGGAGCGGGGAATACTGCCAGTAATCCTTCTCTGCGTGCCCTTCCTCCTGCCGACCACGGGAACATGAAGGCTGTTTCTGTCCAGATCCTGCTTGTGCTGAGGGCCTTGTGCCTGGTCACCCTGGCTGGAGGTGAGCCACAGCTCCGCTTGCACCCCCAGGGAACAGCACGGTTCACGGGGTGGGGGGGAATGGTGATGGAGCCGGGGATGGTGATGGATCAGGGTATGGGCACCTGGGGACCATTATGGGCTGCAGATCTCCCAGCAGGATCAGGCTGGGTTTCGGAAGGGGTAAGGGATATGGCAGCAATCCTGGCAGCGGGGACATCCGTGATGGCTTTGGCCACTCCTGGGGGCAGGTGGGGAGAGTGTCAGAGAGACTTCCGATAATCCGTATCAGAAAAAAACCATGATGCACTTCTTTTCCCTTTTTCCTCGTGTCTCCTAAGGACGTGGCAGGGAGACTACAGCCTGGGCAAGGATGGGTGTCTGTCCACACAGGCTCCCGGTCCTGAGGGTGCCGGTGCTCCCATCCCTGCGAGGCAGGGGGGACTGTCACCTGCGGTGGGTGTGCAATGTGTGTGTGTGTGTGTGTGCGTGTGTGTGCAGGTGGGAAGCACTATCCTGTTCCCTGGATAAAGATCTTTGCGTGCTCTGGGGTCAGAGGACCGGGAGGTGGTGGGCTCCCCTCTGCCAGGGCTGGGCTCGGTGTCAGTCACCCATGGCACAGGTCAGCAGGGTGGGTGCTGGGCTCTCAGCACTGCAGGCGAGGCTGGACTTTGCCCAGGACCAAGGCGTGACCTATTCCCACCGTGGAAAGGCAGACGGGCAAAGAGCCCTTAAGATCCGTGCCCTGCTGCCACCAGACGGGAGGACCGAGGACAGCACGGGCGGCTGGGGATGGAGCTTCTCCTTCTCCTCACACCTCTGGGCAGGTTCTCCAGGGCTGGCTGGAGAAAAGGGGGCACCAGGGACACCGGGCAGATGACCCTGCCCTGGGAACCTGCTTTGGCACTGCCTGGCTCTGCTCACCTGTGGGCAAGTATCCATCTTCCCTGCAGTGAGGAAATCAGGCTGGCTCTGTGGAAGGGCTGCTGGTGCTCCCTGACTGGGGTCTTTTCAGGAACTGTGCTGAAAAGCAGGTAGCAATGGCTCCCAAGAGTCATGGTCCTGGGTGGGTAAACTCTCAGATCCCTTTGGCAACGATTCATATGCAGCTCAGAGAAGCAGGGTTGTGTGCCCCAGAAGGAGGGGTACCACCAGTGCTCGCTGTGGCACCCCTCTGCCCTTGGAAGGTGCTTTCCAAGGTCCTCCACTCTGGGAAAAACCTACCAGGAGTTCAGCTAATTGCAGACCATTGGTGCCAATAACTGGAAAATCAGTTTGGGGTCAGGGACTGCTCCCCACCATGCACATCCCCAGTGGCCCACAGGGATGGTCTGGTCCTGTTGCCACAGTTCCACAAAACTGGCTTGTTTTGTGGAACTGTGTTCCTGAAAGTGGAGGACACCAGCAGAATGTCCTCTGGCTAATGAGAGTTAATTGGGAAGTTGGTTGCCATGAGCAGGGAATTCTTGACCCCAAAGTGCCACAGAAAACATTTAGTGTGTGAACAAAGAGTTTTGCTTTAACTTTACAGGCACCTAGAAACCAAACCAGGCTTTTGTACAAGAGCCACTGGAGTGTTTGCTTGGGATTTCTTGGCAACCATGGCATTCCCCAGTAAATGGATCAAAAGACCTGAGGGTGCTCCCATAGTGTTGCTCATTCTTGCACCCAGTGTCTGGATCATTCCCAACTGAACTGCATAAAATTCACCAAACTCCTTTGGAAATCTGAGGCAACGTTTTGGAGAGACAGCCTCATTGAAACCAGACGCCAGCTCCTTTCTTCACAGGGGCCTCAGATAAGTCAGGGCTTGTTTTTCTAAATCCTGCCCCCTGGGCTCTCAGGAACAAGTAGGCAGGATGCACTGTGCAACCTTCCTTCACTTGGCAAGTGCCTGTTGTGGGAGGCTGGAGGTAGATACAGGCATGAAGGGTCCCCCGTGGTGTGACTGGCTCTGCCCCCTGAAGTGGAGTTTTATTTTTGCACTTTGCAAAATGAAAATTGTATTTTCCAGTGGGAGTTGAAAAGTCGTGTTTGGGAAGCTGGGCTGCTGAGGTACCTGTGGGAGTGATTTATCATTCACCAAAAGGTTCTTTCTCTGCTCCCTTTCTCTGAGCCCAGGTGGCATTCAGAGACCATGTGCCAGCAAACAGAGAGGCAGGGTAGGATGATCACCTGGAGGGGAACTCCAGCAGGAGGAAGAGATAAGACTTACCCAGATAGGGAGAGGACAATCATCCTGCTCTCTGGTCTGCCTGTCCTGCACCAAGAGCTCTCTGGTGAAGGTTGCAGCAGGTCTTCTGGGGCTGACAAAATGTGGCACTGTGCTGGGTCCACCTGTGACCAAAAGGGAGAGGCCCTGCAGGTCCAGGGGCTTGCACAAAGGACCTGCAGCCAGCGCTTGCACATCCTACAAGACAAAAAAGCCCCACAATTTTCACAGTGCTTTTTTCCCCCCCTCAGTTTTCTGGATATCTCATCACATGTATGGGTGTTACAAACCATCTTGGATTTGTCTTCATTGGGATTTGCCTTCATCTCAGTTTAGCAGGGATTGGAAACTTCCGCGCCAAGCTTTGGGCTCCTTCGCCCGAGAGAAAAGAAACGGCGCCAGTTTTTATAGTTCCCTAACAAAAAGCCAACGTTTAACAAGTTGAAAACTTTATTTCAGGGCAACCCAAAGCGCCTCTGAAGTGTTCAAACGAGTGCTATGGTTTTACATCCGTGATAGCAGAGAAGAGGATAAGGAGCTACCGCCGGACTGAGCCCGGATGCGCAAAACAAGCCATCGTGTAAGTGCTGCCCCACCACTGGCCACGAGTCACTCTGTCAGCAAGGGCCCTGGGTTTGGAGCAAGGAACAGCCTGGAACACAGAGCAAACACTGGTGTGTTTATTTGAAGGGTGGTGTTTTATTTTTCCCCCTGTTTAAAGACTGACAGCTTCCAAGTTGGGCTGAACGGATGGGGAAAGGGACCGAGGGAGGTACTTGGCAGAATAGGGTGGAGGAAGCACAGAGGGAGAGAGCCCACGTGTTTTTGTGAAAGCAGATATTTTGTCTGGAGACAGATTCAGACTTGTCTGGAATTGAGAAAAGTTCAATTGTTTTCCCTGGGATAAATTGTTTTCATTTTACCTTGAAGTCGAGGCACCATTGACACCACTTTCTTGCAGCCCAGGGGGTGGCTCCAAAGTGAACCTGCTGGGCTGACCTTGGAAAGTCTCACATCACCCAGTCAGCCAAAACTCAGAGGGTTTGCCTTCATGCTTGCTTGCCCCCGAGCAACTGGTGCCTGCAGAGCTTCTTGTCCTGAGTGCAGGAGGAAAACACCGTGTCCGAGCATCAGGACAATGCTTTTGAAAGAGAAAAAGCTTCCTAGGGGAAAACCCTTCACCCATGAGTCACACTGAGCTGCTCTTCATTCAGTCAGATTTCAGAGGCACCTGCCCTTCCTGAAATAAATCATCCAGCCGACCAGTGGTGTTTGCTCTGGGCTTGGGAGGGTCAGTGTTGCTGTCTGCAGCTATCTGCATGCCTTCCCCATGGCGCTGGTCACCTAAACCAGTGTCTTCTGTATCCACTAAGTGATGCCTTTTTATTTTTCAGATTAACTACTCTGAAGTCTAAGGAGTTTTGTGCAGATCCAGAGGCTGAGTGGGTGAAGAAGATTGTAGAGAAACTGGACCAGAAAAAGGCCACAGCCTCCCCACTTGGGCGTGATGCCGCCTCCCCAGAAGAGGCTGGTGATGTTCAGAAACAGGTTGGTCTTCCAGTAAGGGCTCCATCTCAAGCCACTGCTCCAACTGGTTTCTTCCAAGGGACCAGCACAACAGTCTGGGAGAGAATACATGCTCCTACTGTGAGGACAGAGGTGTCCAGCACGTCCCCACCAGCCAGGCAGGACAGCACCCAGCTCCCTGCAGGGTCACCCTCCGTGACACAGGAATATGCTCTGCGCCCTGGGGTCGCTCCAGAAGCAAACAGAGACTCCTCAAATTCTCCTGCATCTTCAACAGCTCTTGCAGCAGGCATGGACTCCAGCCAGCCCACCCCACATCCCACAGCTCGTGTGCGTGGCTTTTACAACACCATGAGATCTGCAGAATGTGCAGGACATACTGCAAATGCTGCAGCTGATGTTCAGGACACAACTTCTCCTGACTCAGATTCAGACCCAATGGCAACTACTAAAGGATCAGACAAACCTCTGCTTTCTACAAGTGAATCTCTGGACTCTACAAGTGCCAGGGCCAATGCACCAGACACTGCTTCCAGCAGTTCTAGATCAGATCTCCCCTCCACCCTGGACAGTGTGGACATTGCAGCACCCCCAGACACACCAATTCCACCAGACACTAGTTCAGTTTCTACTCTGAGCTCCACCATTGCCACAGACAAAGGGGCTTCTGTCCATAGCAACGAGGTTGTTGGTTCCTCTACAGATGGGTCTGGTACTAGAACATTTGATTATTCATCACCTGTAGGAAAGCAAGAGCCTTCTAATACATTAGTTTTTACTGGCCAGGCATTCTCAGGCCAGGCCAGGGTGCAGACAATCACAGACAGGCCAGATGATCAGCCTCTGTCCAGCTTCTTGTCTCAAACACACTTTGTCATCCCCGTTTCTGTGGTAAGCGGGGTGACCATTTGCAGTGTTGCTCTTGTGTGGCTGTACCTGAAGTTTGGAATGAGACCAGAAGAATCATCGAGAGAAATGGTGCAGGGCTTGCTCTACCAGAGGGCAGGACATCAGAACAATGCCTACCCAATGGAAGTAATCTGAGTGCTTCGTGGCATGGACATTTTTGGCCTAAACTATGTGTGTGTTACTGCAGAAAAGCTGTTTATGCTGAACAGGTGACCACCTGTAGGAAGCAAGCCAGGGAATAAAAATACCAGAGAAAACCGGTATTTTTGCAGAGCAGAATGTCCAACAATACATCTGTTTCATCATTGACCCATGACAGTGTTTTGGAAATCATTGAGACACTTCTTTTCTTCTGGCTCTGTTACACATGACGGCTGTGGCTGTTCTTCCTCTGCTGGTGGCTCTTTGCCAGGGGGTGGGCAGAAGTGGATTCCCAAATTGCTGTTAGGAATTTTTCTATGATTCATCATGGCTAAGCCAAGAAGCCACTCACTCACCCACACTGTTGGACTTGGGCTCAGCCACCTCAAGCAATCTTAGCACCAAACCCACACGATTTGCACTTAAACTCTCTGCTGCTTCTTTGTGCTTCAGGTCTCTGCTCTGTCAGACCAAGGCCAAAGCTGGGTGCTGGCTCTCCTTGGGTTGATCAAATGTACTCTAATTATTTCTCCTTGCTACAGACACGAGGGATAGCCCAGCTTTTCAGAAAGAGGTGACCATAACTGCATCGGATCAGGGTACTGAAGGTCAGTGCTACAGGCTTCGTGTTCACAGTAGCTGGGAACCCACAATCTGTCTCCTCCTTGAAATCAGGCCCTTCCTCTCAACAGCATTTCTTCTTGCAGATGTGGTCTGAGACCTGCTTTTTAGGAAATCAATGCAATGAAACTCTTCTGCCAGCTGATGTGCCCTGTGTCCAGCTGCATCCAACACCAGGGCAGGATAATGCAAACGATTCTTTGCAAATGGAAGAAAACAAGAAGTCATCCAATAATGTTGCTATTCCTGTGATAATATTGGAACACTTTTGCTGTTCTCTGCAAGCAAAAAAACCCAGGAAATAATCTCTTGGAGGAGCTAAAGACAATTCTCGATTTAGTCATGTAGGAATTACTCCACCTCAGCAGATGTAACATCCTTCTGCTTCCATATTCTCTCCAGAAATAAGGACATTTGCTGATGCACCAAACAAACAAACAAACAAAAAAAGGAGGAAAAAAACAAGAACAAAATGGCTGTTCATAGTTCTACGCTTCATCTGCATTTTAGTTTTTCCATCATTGATAGCGTTGATCGCCAGGCTATGAAAGCATCCTAACAGTAACAGGCTTTTTTTAAACCCAAGTTGATTTTGATTTTTACACCTCCAGGTGCTGCTGTATGTAAGCTTTATGTTTTATCTGTGGTCAGGTCCTGAAAGCCCTTATTAGACTTCGACCCCAGTGTGAGTTTTGCTGGAGCGTGCAAAGGTCTTCGCGATACGATGCTTTGTGAGGAGATACATATCAAGGGTCAGATCCTCCTCTAACCAACCTCAGTGGATCAGATCCCAAAGTATGAATATGCACGTAGAAAAAAAGGAAGGAAAAGCACATAATAAGCAAGATCATCAAAGCAAAAATGAGTGGCCAGCTGTGAGGCAGAGCCTGAGGAAGGCAGCCTGTTAAACCCATCAGATCACCCCTTCACAGCACCCATTCAGCCCTGCAGGTGGAGAGGACAGACAACAACTGTGTTTGTTTTCTGCCATCATACAACCCCTTCTTTCTGCGTTTTGTTGACTCGAGAGAGGGGAGCCAGGGCTTCATCTGGGGCTTTGCAAGTGTGGAATGTGATTAGATTAATTGCATGTGGGGTGAAACCCTTCCTTGTGCAGCCCAGCTGTGGAACACTGGCTGGCAAGGATTTTCCTGGAGGGTGAATCAGAGGCTGTCAGTGCCACCTCCCCATCCACCCCACTTGTGCACAGTCGGGATTTGTGAAGCACTGTATGTGGCATTATTTTTATATAAAACACTAGAAATGTTATTTTTGTAGTAAAGTTTTGTAGCCTTTTGAATGTATGCGATACCCTGTCTGCGCTGCTTGGAGCTGAGACCTTTCTGGGAACACTGGAAAACACTGTGCCTTGTTTATTTTCTTGCTGGTGTGAGATGGCTTGTGCATGTCCATGGGAGCTGGATCACGCTCCAGGCCCTTCAGCAAACGTGGTGGACACCTGTCTGGCTACAGGTGAAGTCCTTGGCTTGAAGTGATGCCGGGGAGATGAACGTGCTCCAGTCAGATCACCTGGAGTCCCACAATGCCATTTGTAAGGACACTGGTTTCAGCTCCATGGGTGGCTCCCGTCGTCTTCCAGCTGCCACAGTCCCACTGGAACTCCTCAGGAGGAGTTGCTCCTCCAGCCTGACCCTGTCCTTGTCCTTGCCCTGCTCCCCTCTCCTGTTCCTGGGCTGGCACCACTCATGGGGGGCAGTTAAAACTCGGGGCAGGGGGGACACCACTGTTCCTCCCTGTGCCATGGGCAGCCTGGGAGGGCACAAGGTGGATGCTGGCACAGAGAGACAGAGCCTGTGGGTGCCACCAGTTCCTGGGGTTAAAATATCATTTGCTGTAGAGCACAGTGACTGTTACAAGCTCTGGTTTGTTTGTGTATTGAAAGTGTGCATGACATATATAAGCTGTATGGTTTTTTTAGAAGTAAATAAAGTCCTTATGTTAAAGAACTTTGATCCTCAAGGGACTGAGCCCCAGGATAGATTACTAAGCCTGGGCCCTGCAGAGATGAACACTGATTCTGCACTGTGGAGGGCATTCCAGCATCACAAAGAGACAGCAAAGCCAGCTGTGGCCAGGCTATTGCTCCACCTCCTCACTCTTTAAGGGTTTCAGTCTTGCCAAAAGTTTACAGGAAATATATTTCCTCACAGGGATTTGTAGTTCCCATCCTTCTAAGGCAGTAAAGAAAACAAACAGACGGGTTTTTGCTTTGTTTAACCAGAGCTGTGGCCAAACAGCAACCAACAAACAACAAACATTACCCTCCAAGTCTGTTCTGTAACAGGGCAAGAGAGCAAGGGCTGAGCTATGACTTTTCCCACCCCAGCCAGAGCTTGGGCTGCCCTTACGTGCTCCTCTGGTGATGGGGAGGAGAGGTGGGAAAGGCAGCTCCATGAAAGACTTAGTGCCCTGGGGTTTGCCTGGAGTGGGGAGCTGAAAGGAGCAAGAGGGACAAAGCATCTCCCGCGTATTCCAGGAGCCCTGGTCCCGCCCCGCAGATGAGTCACCAGGCCAGAGAGGTCATTGGTAGGATAAGAAACTCTGTGAAAACAAAAGCGCTTTTTTTCCCTTCTCTTTTCCCTTCCCCGCCGTGGGGGAGGGCGGATGAGGAAGGAGGGGGCTGTGCAGAGAAGGCGGCCCCGCAGCAATGAATCATTTCCGACAGCAGAGCAGGCGCCGGCGTGGGGCCATTCAGGGCTGAGCCTCTGGAGCACCACGGGAGCCTTTGGATGCCCAGTCCCTGGGCTGTGGGTGCCACACGCTCACTGGCTTTGCTGGTGACTCTGTGACTGCAGGAAAAGACCTCGTGCCAAGGGTGTCCCTCCACACACCTTCCCGTGCTTCTCCTGGAGGGCCATGGGCTGCCTCAGGTGCAGAATTTGGTGCAGGAGGTAATTAATACCAAACCTGTTCTGCTCAGGTGGGACAAGGGTTGCATTCTGCACCTCGTGTGCAAGACACTTGTCCTGCCTTGAGGTTTCCCTGCAGCCCACGGGAGATGGGGGACCCACGGTCATGGTGTGCCCCTTCTCACCTCTTGCTGACCCATGTCTTTGGTTTCCAACTCCACATCGTCTCCACCACGTCACTAGCCAGCTATTTTGATTGACCTTATGAGAAGGAGTAGTCACTGGGATCCCATATGGGCTCCCCTCCATACCTTCACTCACTACAGGATCCATCAGATGGCACAATGCCAGGCCTTGAGGGCACTAATTGGCCTTAATCATCCTGACCAGCCTCATCTGTGAGCGGATTCACCCTCACAACACACACCCCCCAAACCCTCTGCCCAAGGACCAGGAGCCACATCTAAGCTCAGGCTTTAGCCTGTGGTTCCTGCTTTGGGCAATGCTGTAAGTGCTGGTCTGCAGTCCTGGCTCTGCTCCGGTCCCTTGGACAGACCTTGGATCTATACTGTAGGTATCTTGTCTCCTGGCTGGCTGGACCCTCTGGTGTTGGAGCCCTGTCTCTACCCCATCTCCTGCTACAGCTGGGTGGATTCCCCTAACCCTCCCAAATGGATTCTGGATCTGCTTCCTTACATTGATCTGCCTGGGGCTGCTGATGGAGCCTCTGACCAGCCTCTGGCTCTGCCGCCTGTGCTCAGACTCTGTGGTCTCTCACCTCACTAATGAGGACACTGCCTGTGCTGGGGTCACCCTTGGCTCCAGCCTTGTCCCCCTCACTGCTCCCTGCAGTCTGGACCTCTACCATCATCTTCTCCAAGCCCAGGGTGATGCGCGAGGTGCACAGTGATTCCTGTGAAGCAAACACATGGCCACCTCCATCCTGTCTGGTTTGAGACTTGTTTTGTAGTTTATGACATGTCTGTCCCTGCCTGGCACTGTGGTTTTCCTGTGAAACGTTGCATAAGAGCTTTCACATCATACTGGGGGAGCCTCTGGTCGAGCTGAAGTAGCACCACTTTCACACCGCTGGCTCAGCAGAAGCTGTTTGGCTCCCTGTTGCACAGCCACAGTTCTGCTGCGTGGCTGTGGGTCTGCCAGGCTTTGTGTTTGCCTAATCTCCATTTTTAGGAGGATTGTACCCCATTCCTGTCACTGCAAGGTCTGCTCTTGTCGCTGACATCCCCCTTGGGTAACATGGAGGTTGTGGGGACTCTGCAAGATCATGTCCCTTCAGTGACTGTCCCAGGTGATGGAGGAAGATTCATTTCTTGAGCCTTCAGAACTCACCCTTCAGAATTCACCTTGAATTCTGCCACAAAGAAAATAATTTAAAAAAAAAAAAAGAAAAGAGAAGAAAAGATAGAAATAAGTGAGAGGTGCCCTCCAAGGAGGGATGTGACGTCAGCTTTCCAGCTCCAAACGCAGCCATCACAAACACTTTTTCACTACAATATCTGAGGGCCTTAACCTGTCTTTCTCTTCACATTCTTTAGCTGCATTTATTTTTCTAATTGCTTGGGTTTTATCCTAATCAAATACTAAGGAGCACGGAAATTCATAACTTGCTATAGTGCCTTCTTGGAATTATCAGGACTAACCCTGCTCAGATTTAAATCACTGACAATTGCTTCCAGTCCTATTTTTTTCTGTTATCACAACTTCGCTTTAAAAGCTGAGCTGAAGCATCTCTCTATCGCCAGCTTAAACTCTGGGAGCTCAAAAAGGGTCAGGGTTGAAAAAAGGAGGCTGAGTCCTCACCAGGCATCATTTCCCCTGTTAGCCACCTGACACAGAAGCCTCTCCAGCGTGGAGTCTCCCTGATACCCCAGGTCCACCCTCACTTAACCCGAGGCAGTTGATTAACCTCACCAGATAAAAATAGAAAAAATGTTTCCTTTTCAGAGTGTTCAGAGAAAATTGGCATCAGATCCTTCTTTTTATCTTCCTCAGCAAAGTGGAGTCAGCTTCCCATTTCTGGCTCACGTGCATCCACCTCTGCCTCCGCTTGGCCATGGTGGTGAGGGCTTCCTGCCCAGCCACAGGGAGTTTCTTTTCTGTCCCTGTGCCAGTGGACGAGCTTGCCCAGTAAATCAGGGCTGACAGAACCCTGGGGAAGGGCTCCTGGACACAGCCTTCCTGCGGCCTCCGTGTCTTGTGGCTCCGGGCAGGACTTACCGCGCAGGATGCGTCCTGGATCACCAACTTACAGTACTTGGTGGTCCCCAGTGTCCGTCTGTAGGAAGCAGCCTTTGGAAGAGACTCTCATTTTCCTCGTTTTAGAGTGTCTTTCCAGGCTGTAGGACCTGGCACAGTCGTGCCTGGAGCCACAGGGTGAGCTCTGACTCCAGGAAGGAACAAGAGGATCGATCGCCTTTTGTTCGTGATTACATCCTGAGTAACCAGAGCTTGAAAATGGAGCTGGGGAGACCCTTCAGTGACCACCCCAAGGAAATGTGGAGGGGCTTTACACTCAGAAAGCTGAGAGTTTGAAAGAAGCAAAACTAGAACATTTTGTATTGTAAATGGAAAAGACTCTAACTACACTGGGTAGAACAGAAGACAGAGAAAACTTAAACCCCTCCCACTGCCTTCTGAGGGGCAAGTTCAGGCATTGGGTGATGCTCAGGTGATGCTCAGCCACATTTCCTGCCCTGGCAGCCCTGCTGTTCTTGCAGTGCAGAGGCTGTGCCTTCCTGAGTGCACGATGATCGTGTGGTTGTGTTTTCCAGCACCTCTGGGTGTGCTCAGTCACCCACTGGCACTCCACTTCCCAGCGTGGGGCTCATTCTGCCCAGCTCCTTCCTCCCCTCACTGGCATCACTGCTGGGAAAGGCTGCACCTGAGCTGCCCCCTCAGCTTCCCTCCTCCCCCTCCTCTTGCAGAACAAATAGGATGCTGTTTATTTTTTACGTAAACAAGCAAATTGTTCAGAGTCCATTCAAATGAAAGGGAAACTTGGGCCGGCAGCGGGGCTTTCCAGCAATCCAGCAATTAGCTTTTCATCAACTAATGTCTGCACATCAGTTTCCCTTTCCAAAAGAAGAAACATCAAAAGGTCTCCAGGGAGTTATGAATCATCTGGCTTCCACAAACATGGCTTGAAAACCTGAGAAAGGGGAAGCAGAGCATCCTAGGCCAGACCTTCTGCCAGAAATGAAAGCACAGTTCTGCAGAAGCTTCACAAGGGGAAGAGAACATCGACAGAGCTGTGGAGAAATGAAAGATGGTTTAGGGGATCAGCAGGAGGGCTGGAGGAGTTCATTACAGCTCAGAGAGACACTGAGTCCCTGGGCTGAGCACATGCAGGGAGGAATGTGGGACCTGTTTATAAACACCTTCTCTGTAGTCCTCGGGTGGCTGCACAGCGTGGGTGACCTCACACCAGCTCCTCCCGGGCCAGGTTGTGCTTCTGAGCCACAGGGACTCCATCTCCCCATGGCAGCTGAGCTAGCACAGCAGCTACACGGGCCTGAGTTAGTGGTTTAATAGTTTCTGCTGGGCTGGGAAGAGCCTCATCATACCTCCCTGGGCTCCTTGAGCCTTCATCGGCAGGAGAGGTGTCCAGCTGAAGCTGGGGGTCGGGAGACATGGCAATGACCAGAGCAGTTCTCAGCAGTGGGTGGTTTTCCCCCAAGTCTTTTAAAAGGCACTCAGGGATGACCCAGTCCCAGGCACAATGTCCTGCTCTAGAGGGTGGCTGGGGGGTGCCAGGTGACCCCCTGGGTAGCTCACAGAGGATGAGGGGGGACTGTGGTGCCCTGCATCCACTTAGAGCCTGGTTAGAAAGAGGGAGTAACAAAAAGAGTGTCAGAGCAGGGGCTGAGCATGACTGACAAGGACCTGCAGAAGGTCTGATGAAGGGGGAGTCCAGCAAGGGGGGAAGAAGCTGTCCCCCAGGTTAACACAGAGATCTGGGATGCTTCAAGGCTGTGGAAGATGGAATATGAAAGTCACCCAAAAACTTGGAACACTTGGTTTTTCATCCATTCCCCTCAGCTTGATACTGACTCCTGCCCTGTCCTGAATCCAGGGGCTAAGCCAGTCCCATCCACCAGGAAGAGCTCAACTACACCTCCTTCTCTTTTCACCCCACACTTCCCAGCTATGAACAGGGATTTTTGTTCCTCTCCATAGTAACAGCGTGGAACGTGATACAATTTCTGCCAGTATTTGACAACTTGCATCTGTCCAGCCACAGAGGGCTGGTGGCAGCAGCAGTCACTGTGTTTCTGCTTAATGCTTTCCAGGAATTCACAAGCCACCCAGCCATCTCCAGCACATTTGTGTTGGCTCTGGGGCTGGAAAGGGACTTTGCATGCAACACCGAGCTTTGTCTTTCCTATCTCCATGAAACCCCTCTCTGAGTGCTTGGGAGCTCTCGAGTTGACACCTCTGCAGAGGAAGATTTCACTTCCCTCGTGGCTGTCCCTGTCTGGGTGAACACAGAAGTTGTCAAAGTTCATTGTCTTTCCAGGTATTGTCCCGGCCCATAACCCCGATGATCCCACGTGACATGGAAATCCCCAGGGGCAAGGAAAGGGTAGACCTTTTCCTTGAATTTGTTACGTATTATTCGGAAAAGGGCTAATGAGAGGAGGGCTGGAGAGGATAAATCACAGCTCCTCCTTGCCTGAGCTCACAGCTGAGCTCCTCCAAAGAGGCAGAGCAGTACCCGGAGAGGAAGAGCCTTCCCGCAGCCACCATGTTCCCTGCAAGGACAGTCCTGCTACTTGTGATGCTCCTCGCCCTCTCCCCACACTCCAGTGCAGGTGAGGCACCTCATGGGCCACCACTTCTGGTCGGGACTCAGGGTCATCCCACCGGGGTGGTCGGGCAAGAAACCCCAGTGTGGAGCAGGGATGGGGCTGCTGGCAGGAGGAGCAACCCCCTGGCCAGGGCAGAGCTGCACATCCCGGGAGGCAGGGAAGGAAGGAAACTGCTCCTGGAGCTGGGTGGTTTTGGCAGAGCTGCTGCAGGGCTTTTGGTGCTGGATGATAACCTGGAGCATCCTCCCCTCCTGCCCAGGGAATAAAGGAGGAGGGCAGCATTTGCAGAGTTTGGGGGATGCTGTGTGGGTCAGCTTTGTCATGGGGGAAGGTCCTAAAGACAAACTGCCTTCCACAGCCAGTGTTCACAGTCTCTCTTTGTCTTCTCCAGCCCCTTACTCTCCATCTGAATGCTGCTTCCATTATGTAAAGGGTGCTCTCCGGCTGGCAAACCTGAAGGATTGCTATTCAACTTCCAAGGAGTGTTTTTTCCCAGCAATTGTGTAAGTCCTGGTAATTTCCCCCCTGCTGTGCTGTCTTCTGAGCCAGCACAGGTTCAGTTCATCTGGGAACAGGACAGGGCCAGGTCTGTGTAGCCTCCATGGTTTTGCAGCATGAAGAGGGGAGGACATGACTGTCTGGGCACTTCTGCAGGGCAGAGTTTAGGACACGAGTCCACCGCAGCTCCTGAAGGCTCTGCACAGGCTCTAGAGGTGCTGGGCTGCAGCATGAGCTGATGGTAGGACACCAAGTACCCAGGGGCAGCGTGCAGGGCCAAAGAGAATAGAGAAAGATCAGGGAGGGAGGATGGCATGGGCACGAGTGGGATTATAGCTGTCATTTCTCACAAAGCTTCACCTTTAACCTCGGCAGGTTTAAGACCAAGAACGGGACCAAAGTCTGTGCAAACCCAGAAGAGCCCTGGGTGAAGAGAGCAGTTGGGAAGCTCCAGAAGAGGAAAGAACCTCATGCCCCATGATGTAGAGTGGGTGCCCTGGTTAAGGCTACCCAACATCC